CTGTTGGGTCCAGGACACTGAACTCTGCTTTCATTATTGGTCCACAGCCATCTTGGCCAATGGACCAGTTCACCCTGCCCAGCCCTGCAGCCCCGGGGCAAGGGAAGCGTCTTACTTCCTCTGGACGTCAGTCAGGGTGATGCCCTGTTCGGTGACTTTGAAGTGGACCACTATGGGTGTGGGGAGAACGTCCCTCTCCAAGGTGGTCGAGATGGCCTTCTGCACGGCCAGGGCTCCGGTCAGGGTCTCCACACTCACGGAACTCAGGTACAGGGCATGGCAGCCTGTGGGATGCAGATACCGCATTGGAGCCTGGTCAGGACTCATGGGAGGTCACCCAGGCCCTGGTCCTTCCTCCACCCAGAGCCAGGGGATGGGGCAGTCTTCCTTCTTCAGGAATCCAGTGGGGCCCCTCTTTGAGTCACCAGGCAGGTCCATAGATGGTGCTGTCTCCACCCCCCCCCGCCCCCTCCTCCCCTGTGGGCCCTGGTTCATTGTTGAGAGAAAGGAAAGAAGATGAGAACGGGGAAGGGCTGTTATGCTCAGGGGTAGAGTAGGAACAGTCACTCAGACCCGGGCTGATCTGTGCCTGGCCTCTGGATGTCAGGAGGAGGGACCTTTTCCCTGTAGAAACCCCTGGGACTCAGACCCGACACTCCACAGAAGATACCAGACCCAGAGACCACCTCGAGAGCAGGTACTTCAGATCCAGAGAGCCACCATCGTGGCCTGTGTGTGCAGGATGGGGTGGGTATAAGCCTGGCCAAGCCCTCCTCTCCTTCCCCTCTCCCCCTTCTCTCCCTCCCTGCAGGCTCTCCTCTCCTGGTTTACAGTGAAGGGGAGGGATATGGCACCTTGTGAAAGATGAAGAAATAAGGCTGTGATGGGGAGCACCTGTGGACATGTGCGTGTGTGTGCGTGTGCAGAGCTGGGAGGTGCTCTCGGGGGGCACAGTCAAGCCTGGAGTGTCCCCTGTACCACTCACCTGCTGATTTCTTTAGGCAAGAGGCTCGGCCATCTGCAGAGGGATCTGAGGTCCCATCTCCACCTCCCAATTCTGAGCCAAAGTAAAGGAACAGGCCCCCGAGGGGGCGAGGGTGGAGTGAGTAGACCCCTCTGATAGGAACAGGCCTCATTAATCCCTTTGAACATCTCCCACCTCAGCCCACACCTTCAGGAGGTAACTGGGCTGAGAAACCAGGTGTGATTATGGTCATTAGGTAAATGGGGCATTTTGGGCTCCCCGGTGCCCAGCTTGCAAACCTTTTGATCCCTCCTTCTCCTCCTCACTCCTCCACCCGCTGGACTGCCACAGTGACCTGGTCCTCAGAGGCCCCTGACCTCCTCACTTCTTTGGGACCTTACCCCAACCCCAAACCTTTCTTTGCAGAAAGTAGGGAGACTCTCGCAGTCACTCCATCAGGGACTCCCCCTGCCCTTGCCTCTTCTCCCAGAACCTCCCCCCTCGCTGCTCCTCCTGTACATCTGAGGTGACCTGCTCCATTTGGGGGTGCAGCTAGGTTGTAAGCTCTGGATGGGGCTTTCTGATCTGGGCTTGAGGTCTGACTCTGTGTCTTTGGGCGAGTTACTTAACCCCTCGAACCCTCTTCTTCTTATCTGTGAAATGGGGATAACAGCAACATCTACTTCACGCGGTTGCAGTGAGCTATGAATAAATGAGGGCGTGCCCAATAAATATTGTACCTGGAAGAAAAATAAAAAACCTCCCCATACTGGCTGATTTATGCTTCTTTCATCCTCTCAGAGAAGGCTACTATTTATCAAACATCTATTCTGTGTCAGGCATCATGCTAAGAGCCTCGCCTGAGTTATCTCATTTAATCCCTAACCCAGTCCTGTAAGTAGGTAGGATGATGGCTGTCCTCATTTCATAGATGGGGAAACTGAGGCTCAGAGAGGTCGATATTCTCAGGTTCTCACAGCTGGGAAGTAGAGATGTTGACAGACCTTAGAGCATGCCCTTTTAACTAAAATAATCCATAAATAATCCACTAGGAGCCTCTCTAGTGAGAGCAAACAGACCCGGTGCTTGGCTGTTGCGTCCTTGGGGCCCAGACCCACCTTTCTGCGGGATGGAGAGTTTGCAGGGCAGGGCCAGGGCCATGATGGAATGCTGGCACACAAAGGCAGAGAGGCTCCCTGCAAAAAAACGGGCAGCCCTGCGTGAGAAGGCCTCCCAGACCACCCTCCTGGTCCACGGGGATGGGCTCACCCACGGGCCTGAGGGCCGGAGGGGCTCACCAAAGTAGGGCTCCTCATCCGCTCCTTTGAGATGCACTCCTTTGGCGGAAGACTCGATGAGGAAGTGGCGGATAAGGTCACTGCTCTCCTCGCCTGGACAGAGAAGGGAGAAAGCGTGCATGTGGACGGGAGCTCCAGAGCCCAGTGAGAGCCACACCTGACCTGCCTCTTCTGGGTCCATCCAGAGGTTAACTTGCTCATCCTCCTGCCTCTGGGTGAGACTGTAGGAATTTCATCTCCAAGGCCTCCCACAAAGGAGGTGCCCACACTTTTGCTCAAAGGCTTCTGCGTCCAGTAATTCTCTCTTCAGGAAACCTTTCCCTTGATCTCAAGAGCTTTCAGGGATGGTTCCCGACTGGTTAGATCAAATCTCAACTCTTTGGTGTGATTTCTCTCCCCCTCTACTTCGCTCTCCCAGGTGCGCTTATGCTTCACCAGATGGTCCTTGCTGGGGCCAGGCTGGCCTAGGAGGGTGAACAATACCTTCTGCCCCTTTCCCACCAGCACACAGCTTCCTCCTCTCTTTGGGCTCATTGGCAAGGCTTCCTTGGTAATCAACACCGCCCCAGAGGTCACTTTCTTATTTAGACCAAGAGGCATAGGGTAGAGAACTTGAGGTTGGGTTTTCATCCTCTCTCTGTCACTTACTTGCTTTGGGGAGCCACCTGGTAACTCTCGGCGCCTCAGTTACCTCATTCGTTTGTTGCGTGAGAGCTACAGTCTCGGGGTTTATTGAGGGGGTGGCTGTGACTCAGGTACCTTATACTGTAATGATCTGTTTTGATCTTTCTTCTCAGTGAGATATCCTGGTTCCTTCCTCAGTGCCCCATAGATGCGTGTTGTGTGCGTGAGAACACAGGAAAGCATGTGATGAGCTGTCACACGGGTGATAAGCTAACCCACACGTGTTATTCTATTAGGTTCCTTCACAATAAATCTGGTCTGGAGAGAGACGGGCACCCAGAAGAGAGCAATCTGGAGAGGGCTTGGGACCTTCCTCCTCCTCTTCCCACTGTGAGAGTAGAGCAGAGAATCTGGGGACTTGGGCAGGGGACACAGCTCAGGCTTACTGTGAAAGGAGTTCCTCACAGAGCATTGATGCTGAAGGACAGCTGGGAGAGCACTGATGTGGACCCTCCTCCCAGGAGTTGTTATGGGTCTGGCCCAAGGTCACCCTGCAAGCTAGCAGCAGAGCTGGGACTAGAACCTTCCACACCCCGTTACCTCTGAGAGGCCTTGAGTGAGAACAGAGACAGGTGCATACCTGATCGGTTCTGGGCAGGTTCGGGGACCTCCTTCACCTTCAAGGCAAGGCCGAAGGATCCTCGGTACGAAGAGCTGTCCCTCACAACAAAAGCCCCTGGCTCCTCCTTCCTCAGCAGCTCGATTGCTGGAACAATCCTTGAGTCAGAGACAGTTACCGCCCCACCTGGACATCCTCTGTCCCCCTACCCCTATAGGGTCTTCATAGAGTAGATGTTACAGAATCGCCTTTTGTGCCTAGGAAGTCTTTTCTATTATCTAATCTCTACCTTTCCCGCTGCAGTCTCTATTTTCTTGGGTCACGAGGTCCGCAGGACAACCCCCTTCCCTGGACCTTCCATTTCCCAGTCTTTCCTCTGCCATGACCCAGGGTCCCAACTGCAGAACCCAGACCTGATTCCTGGAGCGGGAAACAACCCCTGAAACATAATGCTTCCTTTTACCTTGTTCTCGGGTGATGCTTGGCTTAAACCAGTATTTAGAGGTGTCCATCACAAACTTCATGGTGGGCTGCATGTCCCTGGCAGGACCTGAAGACAGATAGAGAGGGGGGACCCTGTAGGCTGGACAGAAGAGAGACCCTCCCCACTCCCTTCCTAGTGGTCCTATTCAACCCACCCTCTTCTACCCCAACCTCATTGTATCTATAACTGTCTAAAGAGGCAAAATCCAACAGAAGAATTCAGGGCTTAGGAATCTCCCCTTTGATTTATTCTGGTAATGAATCAGAAACAGATAAAAATCTCAGTTTAATGAGAACGGTTTCTCATATCTAGTGATGCCTGGTGGGGACTGAAATAAGGGATATATAAGGGATTCTGAGATACATCATTTCTTTGATTTCTCACTCTCGTCCCCCTTGATGATTCTATGAGTTCCTTAGGGGTATCTTCAGTTTCGAAAAGAAAACAAAAGAAAAGGTGAAGGAAAGGGAAACAACATTTCTGAGCAGAGTGCTCAGAGATCAGGAGAGGGGATGCTTGACTTTGACTTGGGACAAACGTTCCACTCCTGAAGCCCAGAGGGGACTGACTGAACTAAAAAACTTTTAAGGGTCTTTAATACTCCAATAGCTTATTAAGTTACAATGGATTTACTTGTGGGGATTTTTGCGGAATCTGATGAGATCCCAGGGTATAATGAGTGATGTCTTCGGGCATCACCAAATCGAGATGGGATTATCATCAGGCTAAGGAAATGTGCTCTTTGAGATGCCTGAATGCTCATTTTCCTGGTCCTTAAGGCAGGGAGCAGTTCTTAATTTCAGCATGTTGAAAAGGTGTGCTGTGGCCAGTGGAGAGTACCTCATAAAAACTGTACTAAAATCTGCAGATGATTTGTCCTAGGAAAATGGCCAGAGCAGATTCAAAGGCATATGTGCCACGTCTTTTCTCTTGTTTGCATTGATGTGGCTTTGTGAGTGGGAGTGAGCAGCAGACCGGAGTTAGCATTTCACCCCTCCCCCACACCGGGCCAGCCACCTTGATGCCTGTTGCTGATAGAGGACTGAGAAACCCTGGGAAGGAGATAACTGAGCAAGTAGGGAACAGGGACAGTGTCCCTGGGGCTCCGTGGGGAGCTCTGGTCATGGGTAAAGAGCACCTGGGGGTGCTAAGGCTTAATTATCCTCTGTTGTTTACTGCTTTGGGTTCTGGTTGGTCTTGTTTTTTTGGAAGCCTGCAGTCACAGACTCCGGGAAGGAGGGTGTTTGCTGTTTTGTGGTTTTTAACTGTCTGAAATGGAATGCATTGTCTGCGTTACCCTGTCTTCCCCCTCTGTCTGCTCGTCATCTACCAACGTCAGAGTTATTACTGACTCCCTTTGCCTTCCCCTCTCATGAGTTAGTCATCTAGCCTGCTGCTTCCATAACCCGAGGTCTCTTCGCTTTGTCCTCTCTCCTTCAACGCCCCCTGCCCCACCCTGGTTCAGGCCCTGTTTTGGCTTGTCTGAACCACTTCATGATAAAGACTCAAACAGAACCAAATAAAAACTGCTTTTCTTGCCCAGGCTAGGTCCTGAAATTCATCTGCCAGAAAGCTGCCACAGAGTGATCTATTGGATGTGTGCCTCCGTTCCCATCACTCTCCTGTATGAGACACTCTGATGGTCTCCCATTGCCTAAGGCAGTGGTCCCCAACCTTTTTGGCACCAAGGACCAGTGCTCCTATGAGAATCTAATGCCTGGTGATCTGAGGTGGAGCCGAGGCAGTGATGCTAGTGCTGGGGAGCGGCTACAGATGAAGCTTTGCTCACTTCCGGCTGCTCACCTTTTGCTATGCAGCCAAGTTCCTAACAGGCCATGGACCAGTACTGGTCCCTACCCGGGGGGTTGGGGACCCCTGGCCCAAAGGGTAAAATCTACTCTTTAACTTGGTTTCCAAGGCCCTAAATTACTCTCAATGACCTTACCCCACACCCAGCATCCCAGTCCCTGAAACATGCTGTGTGCTCCACACCTTCATGACTGTGGACTCTGTTCCCTCTGCTGGGGATACCCTTCCTCTCCTGCTCTGGCAGTAAACTTTTAATCTATTTTCCAGGTCTAGCCAAGATGTCACTTCCTCTGAGGAGTCTTCCCGGCTCTCCAGACTAAAAGGTTTACTTCTCCCTCTGTGCCCCCACAAGACTTAAAATATCTCTTTACCTTGGTGTTTATCCCAGTCTATAATGTTCCTTGATTTTGGTCTCTCTTTCTAGAATGTTTCCATCTCTATACGACCCCATTACCGAGCACACAGTGGGTACTCGATAAATGTGTTGATCAGCTATTGCAGAAACCCACTGGTGCTTCGTGTATTCACCCTAGCCAGACCTTACAATGCTCAAGGTGTTGGCTTACAGCGTACCTTCTGGAGTTGTGGTGGGAGAGGCATCTGGCAGGGTCTGGCTGTGGCTCCTGGTGGCTGGATAGGGGTTGCTGGCAGAAGCAGCCCCAGGTCGGACAAAGTCCTGGTGTCCTGGTGTCCGCCGAGTTGGGGGAGACCCTGGTTCTGGGCAGCCATTGATCAGCACGATGGGTATGTCCACCATGGAGTTGGTGATGGATGGGGGGCAGCTGTTGGCATGTTCCTTGGCCAGTGGTGGGGAGTAGGTTGCTCTGGGCTGGCCCATGCTTGGGGTGGGATTGTTAGGGACCTGGATGTCACTGGCTCTTGTACACAGGGACGCTGGGCCAAGGCTGTGGAGGCTGGAGGAAGAGCTGGCCGGGCTTTCCAAGGACCTAGAATATGACTGTTGGCTGGAGATGCTGGAGCGGAGGAGGGACTGGCAGCTGCAGGGGGAGAGAGCACCAGATAGGCAGGGCATTAGGGTGTTGAAGTGGACAATCAGGGGTCAGAACCAGGCTCTGTAATTTAGTAATCTGGGCGTCCATGGTTTTGGTTAAATAAAATACTGCATACTCTACTCCCTATAACCCAGAGCAAAGGGCACGCCCACCTGATCCCTAAGGGGTGCTGAAATGTCCCTGGACTATAGAGTCTTTGATCAATTAAAGTAGCCAATGGTCTGACTCTCTGCAAGTCACGTGGGCTTAGGCGAGACCGATTCCCTCTGCTTTCCCAGCAAGGCAGATCGGATTGAGTTGTCACACCAGCCTCCCCATCACTCCCAGAGCCCTGTACACGGGCTGGACCTGGGCTGGACCACGTCTACTTTTATGCGGAGGGAATTCCCCAGCTGGAGGAGGAGGAGGCCAGGCCAGCTCTGCATCCAGCCAGACTTCTCCTTGAGCTCAGAGACCTATGCCAATAGGCATGGCTGTGGGATCCCAGTCTCCTTGCCAGGGCCTGCCTTGGCACAGTGACTTTTGAGTTGATGCGGGGGGTGGTTTGGTCTTCTTAGGCAGGATGGGTGTATGGGCAGCTCTATCATCAGGGCTACAGAGAACTGGGCTCAAGGATCGTAAATAATGCCAGGCAGGTTCACTGTCCTCCTGCTGGGTTTTGCCAGTAACAAAAAGGAAGGAGGCTTTTCTTTCCTAAATGGTCCATCCCAGGCCCTCCAGTTCTATTGACATCCCTGTTTATTGAGGTTCGAAAAAACCCCCTTCATCAAGATGGTTTGTATGAGAGCTGGAAAGGATACAAGTGGGCCTCTAATATAAGAGTTTTCTTCCCAAGAGGTAGGTGTAAGTCAAGATTTTTGTGTATTGAATCATAGTCTAAATGTTTGAGGAAATCTTGAGATCCAAATGGCTGTGATGGCATAAAAGAGAACATCCCCTTTTATTGTTTGTGAACACCCAGATTTTGCTCAGACAGAGCAGGGTGCCCCTCGACAATTTTAGGATCTGTGTGTGTGTGTGTGTGTGTGTGTGTGTGTGTGTGTTGTGGAGGTAACATTAGAAGCTATAGTGGGAGTGACCTACCTTCCAAACACATAGCTGACATCAGACGCTGGGCTGGCTGACAGCACAGAGACCCTGCTGCCTCGCTGTGGGGCCAGGCTCCCCAGCCCCTTCTCCAAGCCTGGAGAAGCCACCGATGGGGAACCCAAGCCATGGGGGCCCAAGGCCTTGTTCCCCACGCAAGGGATGGCGATGCTAGGAGAGGGTGGGGGATGAGAGGAGAGACCTCCAGATGGGGGAGAGGGGCGCTGGTGTCCCCTGCCCTGGTTCCCGGAGAAGATCAGGCTCTCACTGCTGCTTCGAGTCTCTCGGGGGACATCCCTGGAAAGGAGGAGGCCGCCATTGCGTGGAGAACCGAAGGGCGGGGTGACAGACGGGCTGGAGCAGCGCTGGGGACCATCGTGACACTTTGATCTGGTGGAGGTCACCTCGATGTACTTTATATCTTTGAGAAGAGAAGCAGAGCATTGGTGAAACCTGGGGTCCTGGACTCAGAACAGGAATGCTGAAGGGTGTCCTCAAGACCTTCTGGTACCCCCTCTTTTATATAGACAAGAAAACTGAGAAGAGAAGCTCAGAGAGGAGAAGCTCTTTGGAATCAGGATTAGCATCTAGCTTCACCTTCAGGGCCCAGTGCCAAAGTCACCTTCTTTGTGACATCTTTCCCTGGATGGAGAGATGCAGATAAATGAATATAGGCCTTGGAGTCAGACAGGCCTGGGTTTCACATCTGGCTCTGCCACTTACTATCTGAGAGAGCTTGGCCAAATGACTTCATTACCTAGAGCCTCAGTTTCCACACCTATAAAATGGGGTGATTCTGCCCAGCCTCTTGGTGTTACAGTAAGGATGAAATGACATAAATGTAGGGGGCCTGGCACTATGCCTGGCAAATAGCAAACCCTTTAAAACTGGGAGATTCTCTCCTTCATGTATGCCTCACTCCCCACATTGAAATGACTGCTTAATGGAGTGTGCCAATCACATCTTCTATGCCTCTGTTACTCAGGCATGTGATAGTTGTTTCCGTGTCTATGCCTACAGTGAAGGAAAGGGTTCTCAAGCGTAGCTGCATGCTAGAATCATCCGGTGAGCTTTTAAAAGTCCTAACACCCAGGTTCTGCCCCGTGTCAGACCAGAGTCTCTGGGGTAGGCCCAGGCCTCAGCTTGCTTGTTTGCTTAGTTCCCCGGGTGATCTGGGTCTACTTCAGAGCTTGAAAACTCTGCTGTGCCGAGCCAACGAGCTGCGGGCCTCCCTTGCTGCGATAGTAGCTGGTGCAGAGTGGTTGGTTGTCACACACGGCCCAGGCTGCTGAGTCACTCCAATGCTCTTTCCATTCCCCAGGGCGGGCATGCAGGACTCTTGTCCCCAGACTTTGCATCTCTCTGGACTGGGGCACCTTGTGGTTCTCCCCATAGCGAAGATAGGTGCCCCTCCCCCTGGTCTGGGTGCTGTTCCAGCAAAGGTGGTAGAAGGTGGGGGTTACCGAGCTGCCCGCTTCTGTCGTGAGT